TATATATATATATATATATATATATATATATATATATATATATAAAACTTTAGAGTGATCGTGTAGACACTAGACGACAGTGACTGTTTGCTTCAAGTTCATTCCTCCTATAACAACTAAGTTCTTAAATACCAGCGTTGCTTAACTGTGTTGCACATTTTTTAATCCCACCTCAAAGAATAGTTTAATCTGTCTAATTTGTTCTCTGTAATGAACAGATTGCCACGAGGAGCTGCCAGCATCTCTACCTCTGTCTCAATACAGAGCAAACTCTCTGCCCACCAGCGTCAAAGCCCATGGCGTCATCACTTTGGGTAAACTCTCCTACTTCTGTTCTTCTTTCCGGGTATCATGTCCGGTTGTTTGTCATGACATCTAACCATCGTTTTGCTCAGGTAAACTATGCTTGCAGCATGAAGAACTCGCACAGAAGTACATGCCGGTGTTTGCCAGAGAGCTCGAGATCGGCAAGGAGGTCGCTGTGCGCAACAACATAGTGGTGATCATGTGCGACCTGTGCATTAGATACACCAACATCGTGGATCACTACATCCCCAACATCTCTGCCTGTCTGCGGGACGATGTATCTGTCATCAGGGAGCAGACACTCATCATGCTGACCAACCTGCTCCAGGTTGGTTCTGCTCTTCACAGAACACCTAGGAACAATTCATTCAGTGTTCTTGATGACAAGTCATATACAATATCTGAACAGTTAAAATACATATATACTTTTATGTTTTATTAGTTTTAGTTTGTAAACATTTTAAATTGTTTATCTAATACTAAATATGGTGATCTATTAAAAAAACTAGTTCGAGTAGTCATTCACATCACATGTGGTTCATGAGGTGGAACGAAACCGTGTACACAGGGTCCCAGTTACATCCAACAATAGCAAAAATATAAAGTATAAAAAGAAATGGTATATGAAGATCTAAGATATTCACTAAGATATACGCTAAACACTAATAATGTTAAATAATACAGTATATTAAACAGCAGCCTGAACATGAGTCTGTTGTGAGTAGATGGGTATGAATACAGCAGCATAAAGGCAAGAGATCAGCAGCATGGATAATCAGCAGCACAGTTAAGTCGCATGTCACTGATCAAAGTGGCATCACAGTGATTTTTTTTTTTTTTCACAGTGATTATCCTGGTTAGAGATTCATGAGTCTAACAGCCTCAGGGTAGAAGCTGTTCCTCAGTCTAGTGGTTCTACACTTAATGCTCCTCAATCTCCTTCCTGAGGTGATCAGGGCAAAAAGTGTGTGTGCTGGGTGAGTGGGGTCCTTCATGATGCAGGTGGTCCTCTTCCTGCATCTGGAGGTGTAGATGTCTGTGATGGTGGGGAGACTGACTCCAACAGTCTTCTGTGCAGCCTTCACCACTCTCTGCAAAGCTTTTCTTTCTGCAGCTGTGCAGCCTCCATGCCACACGTTGATGCTGGAGCACAGGATGCTCTCCACTGCACACCTGTAGAAGGAATAGAATTAAAATATGTAAACAGTTCAGCAGAACAAATTCATTTTCAAAATTATTTAAGTATCATCAGATTGGCAAGAATAGTTTTTGTACAGCTGTGTAACCACTGCTGGCTGAACAACAACTACACAGACCACTTTATCAGGTCCACGTGTTCAGCTTATCAGCGGCAGCAACTCGGTGCCCATAGAGAGGTGGGTGTGGTGAAGATGACTTGCTGAAGTTCAAACTGGCATCAGAACAACAAAGAAAGTGACTTTGACTGTAGTAAGATCAGGTGCTAATGGGCTAATGCTATTTCAGAAAATGCTGATCTTCTGGGATTTTTACACAAACCATCTCCAGAGTTTGAAGAAAATGGTTAAAAAAAGAAAATATTCTGTGAGCGGCATTTGTGTGGACGCAAAAGCCTCATGTTAGAGGAGAATAGACAAACTGGTTCGAGATGACAAAAAGGTAACATTGGTTCAATAATCACTTGTTACAAAAATGTCTGCAATACCATCTGTGAATGTGCAACACGTCCTACCTGGACTCAGATGGGCTATAGCAGCAGAAGATGGTGCCAACCCTGTCAACGAAGAACAGGAAACTGAAGCTACGGTTCACGCAGACTGACCAAAATTTGGTCATAAAACTGTGAATAATTGCCTGGTCTGATGAGTCTGTAGAGATGGTTGTCTGTGAAAATCCCAGTAGATCTGCAGTTTGTGAAATACTCAGAACAGCCGGTCTGTCAACAACAACCTCACCACATTCAAAACCACTTTCTTCCTTGTTCCGATGCCTGGTTTGAACTTCAATAAATTTTCTACATGTCTAAAGTCATAGATTACTGCCATGTGATTAGCTGATTAGTTGTTTGTGTTTTTAAACAACTGAACAGGTGTACCTAATAAATTAGCAGGTCAGTGTATTAAAAACAACTATCCAGAAACCTGTTGTTTATAAACTGAGCCTGAGTACACAGTTTTTCTGACATCATTTAAATAATACTGTAACGAAGCTTCCCATTTGCTTCTAGTAAACCTGAGGAAGACGACATCACAACAAGCTTATGGCAAAGTGTCGGACTGTTCCTAATTTTTACTTTTTTGTTTCTTTAGGAAGAATTTGTGAAATGGAAGGGCTCGCTCTTCTTTCGGTTTATGGTGGCGCTGGTTGACCCAGTCCCTGCCATTGCCAGGTAATTTACTGTGTACCTTTTCACAAATGTCTGTGTCCTGAATAATGTGTTTGCTTGTTTTGGTAAAAAAGCTACTGAAGCGCACTTGAAGTGGACCAGTAGGGAACAGGCACTAACATTACTAGGTCCCGCCAAGAGTAATGTCACACCAATCGAATACCAAACTGATTATTTTATTGATTCCCAATCAAAGCATTTAGAAACGAACTCTGTTTACAAATGTGAAAAAATCAAATACAGGAAAAATTAATTGGAGCTCTTCCCTTTTATGAAAAAATAAAATAAAAACAAGTTCAGTTCTTTAGCAACGTTGCTTCCTGGGCAGTGTTGTAATGTGTATGGACTCTTATCTGTAACCCAAGATGGATTTTCCGGATTGTGAAGGTTCTTCTGTGAAATGATGTCCCGGCTGGCCGCACCGTTTACACATGTCCACATTGTACCACCCCAGCAGCTGCCTCCTCGTTTATGATTTACTCTGCTAGAGTACATTTAGAAATGAAAAAAGGCAAACTTAGGCCAGATTTTTTTTATATTTCTTTTTTATCATTGGTGTTTTTAGACCTGGATATTTGTGTCTGTTGACTCTAATGGTTTCTGTCATTAGAGAGCTCTGATGCAGGTATCCAAACACAACTCTAACCATCTAAAATTTACAGAAACTAAACTGAGATGGGTTTGTGATGCCCTCAACAACTCTTATTTTGACAGAATTGGTTACACACACATCTTAAAACTACTAGTAGTTCAACATTCTGACAAAACTGCAAGCCTTAATTAATAACATGCAACATTTTGGCTACTCCCATGAAAATTGTTAATCAGCAGTTCAACAGTCCTAACTTTATGAGATACTACCCTTTTAATTTTTGCTGACCGTGTGCAACTTCTGTTGTCTTGCATAAAAAGTGTCATCATGTTGAGCAACAGTCATTTCAAAACATAAAAATGACAAAGACTTACGTGATCTTAAGATTTCAGTGGGGTTTTTGGTTACATCTTGTGAATGTGGAACTCAATTTTGAAAAGTTTCAATCACTGAAATTTTGGGCATCAACTGGAGCCATTTGTAACTGGAAAGACTTGGAACGTTGAACAAGGATCCATTCAATTCCTTTCAATAGTCTATACCTGCTGAGTCCTGTTCAGAGCCGTGGAGAGCTGATGATAATAATAATGATAAATAAACTTTATTTATTTTGCATCTTACAACAATGCCTTGTGCTTTACAAGATAAAACGAATAAAAACAACTCAATAAAAGAAGGTAAAAGAGATTAAAAAAATGCTAAATACTAAAATAATTAAAGTTAAACATTAAAAACCTTTTTAAATAAGTATGTTTTCAGTTTGGCTTTGAACAGAACCAGATAAGAAATGGCACGCAGCTCATAGGGAAGAGTATTTCAGGCTGTTGGGCCTGCAACAGAAAAGGACCGGTCCCCCCCATTGTTTGCACCTTGAGCAAGGCACCTCCAGCAGATATTGACCGGCAGACCATGAAGCTCTTCTGAGCTGGTGGACTTTGAGACGTTCTGAAATATAATGCGGTGCAAGGCCATTCAAAGCTTTAAAAACAAACAGCAGCAGCTTGAACTGTGTCCTAAACTGAACCAGGAGCCAGTGCAAAGAAGAAAGGACAGGAGTGATGTGTTCATATTTATGTGTGTTAGTCAACAAGCGAGCAGCAGAGTTTTGTACAAGCTGTAAACGGGAGATGGACTGATTTATACCCACATATAAAGCAATATAGTAATCGACATATAAGGCATTACAGTAATCAAGCCTAGAGCTCACAAAGGCATGGATGGCCTGATCGATACGGATAAGGAGTGACTGTACTTTAGAAAGCAGATGTGCTGAAAGAAGCTGGTTTTCACATCAGAACTGATCTGTTTATCTAGCTTTAAGTTACAGTCAAGCTCCACTCCTAGATTGTTTACCACCTGGTTGGAGTGGGGAGTGGAAAACCTAGAATGGGAGGGATGTTGCATGAATTAGCCTAATGAGACAGCTCACTGCTGTTTCAGCAGCTCACAACAGAGTTTAAACTGAGTGAGGGACTGGGAGTGACTGGCAGATAGATTTGCAAATCATCTGCATACAGATGAAAAGGCAGATTATGGTGTGCAGTGTAGTGAACTAGGCCTGAGGTGCAACCTTGACCTCTGAGTCCATCAGAGTTCCACTCAGAGGTGGAAGAAGTCATAATCCCACACTCGGAAGAGCTCTGGATCATGTCAGGATTTTCCTGTTTTCCCAGCACTGGAGTTGCAACGACTGAAGCCGGAGCCTGAAGCGACTGGGCCTCTGCAAACTCTCCACCTGACTGGACTCGACTCCAAACTCGACTGGGTTGAACTAGGAAGTACCAACCTTTAAAGAGCTCTATTTCCGGTTCACTGGGGAGTTTCCTGATTGGTCGTTTCAACCAGACAGGGGTGTGTTTTTGTGACGTAAGAGGTCACTAGGAGTTAGAAAAACAGCAAGAATGTTATGGAACAGATTGAAAATGTTTTTCAGACAGCCGAGAGGAATATTTAGACGAGTTGGCGGAAAACAGGTGCCAGCTTCTCTATTTACGTCCGAGAGGATTTAAAAACATGACAGCTCGTTCCAACACTTGTTTGCGTTTGACTCCAACCTTGGACCAACTTACACTGCTCATTCAAAGACAGAAAATCAGAAAATGCATAATTACTCTGTAACAGATCATTATTAATGTTTCACAGTTAATTAAAAATGATTAGTTCACTACAACATCTAAAATGGTTTGAACTAAAACACTTTGATTATCAAACATTTGTAAAATAGTAATGATAATAGAAAAGAGAGTGTTCTTTCACTTGAATTTTCAAGAAAGAAAGTCTCAGGATGGGTCAACCTGTATTTCTGGATTCAAATCAATGAAATGACAGTTTCTGTCCCACAAGGTCCTTAAGGTCAGGACTTTGACCTCAGGCCTAGTTCACTACAGTCCCCCCTTTGGAAACTTGAAATCACAGTTTCACTTCGTTTTTAGGATTTTGGTGAAATTGAACGCTCGTATTTCTTTAAAATAAGCATTTTTGAGTTAACAAACGTTCCTCAAGCTGATTTATACTGTTATGTTATCTTACCATTAAAAGTCAGTAAAGTATTTATGCCCAGAGAGGCGTTTACTAGGACATTTTTCATTCACTGATAAATCCTCGAGCAGGTGCAAAATGAAAAAGTGAGAACTTTTTGGTAGATACAGTCACAGATAATCACAGAGCTGATCAGTTTACTCATTTGCTGAAAAGGAAATACACGTTTAATTGCTTAAACAATAATGGCAGGAAAAGAGGAGTATAACAGTTTTTCTGAAGAAAGACTGAAGCTCCTCATGAAATAAAATTATTTTTCTTTCACCCACCTGGTTTAATGAGTAGCTGTTAAAATAGCAAATTTCTGGAAGTGAACGGTTTAAAAAACGTTTTAAACTGATGTTGCTGTGAGACTTTTTAGAAAAATTGCAGGTTTATAAAAATTCAGTGCTTCAGAGTAAAAAACACTGAGAAGCTTGGTAATCTAGTATCTGTTAAGAAATAAGCACATAAAAAGTAACACTGCAGAGAAGCATTTACTTAAATATTCATGAATTGGGGTAAAACCTATGACAGGTGCCCACATTCGAATAAGTTGACTTATAACAGTACTTTTGTGTAAACCCAGAGCTTAAAATAGTGTGAAACTCAATGACACTTGAATACAAATATTTACCTGTAAAATAATCTGAAGCTGGCAACTGTTTTAACCAGATAAAGTGCTACACAGTGAATACCATGACAGGTGTGATAGAAAAAGATTTTGATCCTTATGAGATGAAGGACTGTTTAGAGAAAGCGTTAGCACTGCTGACAGAATCCTTACATCCATATGATAAACAGGTGAACAGCATGAACCCAAAAGAGTTAGTGGACAATCTGATGGAGGTTGCAGGGAGTGTGACCTCTACAGAAATTACAAAGTCAAGTTATGATCAGCTGGCTAAAATTGCAATTTTGCTGAAAGAATCATTCTATACAGTTGTTGAGAAAGCTGATGCCCTTGCAATAAGGTTAAACAGTGAAAAAGAGGTGGTTCAGGAAATTGAAGAACACTTCCTTCAATTTAAAAGCGAACACGAGGTCCTCACAAGAAAACATTATGAACAGATGTTTCAATCACAGCAAGATGCACGTGCAGAAGTTGATTCAATGAACAGCAAAATACAGTTACTTGATGCATCACTATCTGAAGCCAGGGATGCTAAAGAGCAGTTGTCCAGAGAATACTTTGCATTAAAACGGGATCACGTTGTGACAGTGTCACAAGTTTCCCGCTGCAAAAGTGAAATAGATGTGCTTAAAGCACAACTTGACGAATGCAGACTGGTAAAAGCGGGATTACTCCAACAATGTCTGCTTTTACAAAGTGAATGTCAGACATCACAGGAACGCCTGAAGGCTTGTGAGGAGAAACTAGCCACAGCATCAAATGAGATTTCTGACGTGGGGCAAGCTTGTCTGGAACTCAAGGAAGGCCGAGGTCAGAGTCCAAACAAACCGCCATCACCCCAGAAAGATGTTGTTGCACCTCGTGCTCTTAATCCCATCCTAACACCTCCACCCTCATCTCGGGTGATAGGGACAGACCTGCACCAATTTGCACTACCAACCACGCAAGTGAGACCATTGATACTGTCTCCTTCAATGGATGATTTGCAGAAAATCTCAAAATATGTACAACGCTTTGTACCGGGACCAATGGGTTCAACTGGAACAAAAGCGTACCTCAGAGATCTTGCGTTCAGATTGAGAGGTTATCCTAATGCTACGGTTGAGGATAAGATCAGTCTGATAAGGCTCACTTCGGACAGAGAGGTGTTCACCTTCATCGAGCGTCTACCTGATGCAACGAGAAAGGATTACAACCTTCTGTGTGAAGCTTTTATCAGAGAGTACGACCCCTGCACGGGACCTGCTGGTTTCCCGGCTG